ACGAGTTTCGAGCGCTGCAGGCCGCGCACGACGGTGCACTTGGTGCTCCGTGCTATTCAAAGCAAACTTTATCACGCTACGACGTAGGAGCCATCTTGTATTCTGACCGACGTTGGCCATCAAATCGCAATCGGGAACGCACCGCGACAGCTTGCGTGTTATTAGCCACATTATCCGGATATCCGGTGCAGCATCGCCAGGCCGCGCGGTCGACCGCTTTGCGTTCGAAAACGAAATGTCCAAGACTTGGCACAATAGTAGAGGACGCTGTGGAGAGTACGGAAAGCGAGGGCGCGCTGACGTACGAGGCGTACAGCAGTCGCGAAATGCGATCCAAGATGCGCGCCAAACTGAGATCGTAGTGCCATCTGAGAGGCACAACGCACTCCAAACTAAGATCGTAGTGCCATCTTAGCGGCATCACGCCAGGACGCCAACGCCGCTTGCCGACAATATCACGTTTGAAATAGGATCGCCCGAAGTTGGCATAGTGATAGAAGACACTTTAAAGAGTAGAGCAGACTGCGATTCGTCATCGCTGCAGGCCTACAACGCGTGCAATGCTCGACCACAAATACAAAGCGCTCTTAAACGTTAGAAATGCAAATGGCTGCATTGGCACGCCGTAGGCGTCATCTTTTGCACTTGTAGCGACGATCTCCCCTTTCAGTGGAACAAGATTGCGATTCCTAGCAACATATATTCAAATACAAAGATTCATACCTCGATTTGAGCAATGTCGTTGATAACTCATCGGGTTCGCGCGCGCGGCGTACCCACACGCATACCACTGTACTCATGGATGCGGAGGCGTGGTCGACAACTGGTATTGAGAAGCGAGCCCCAGGACGTTCGTGTCATCGTCGACTTGACGTTGGCAGCGATATACACACAAAATATGCATTTCCGTGCCTCACATCTGAGGCGCGGCAACTCAAACGCCAATCTCTCACGCAGGTAGTGTTCCCGACGACTGTTATCACGTAAACTGACTAACGCCGTTTGCTTCCGTGTTGATGCCAAATGCGCCACCATCAACTATTTCGTACTTCTAACGTGTGCAGCGCACGTTATGAAAACTATGCTGGCTCGGTTGCTCGAGCGCATCTATGGAGCTTGCCAACGCCATGGACAAACATGCCCATACCCTAAGCAAACGCAGCGCTTCCACGAGACCGAAAACGACCTGGCACGAGACGTAGCTTCAATACATGCTATAGCTAAAACCTAATGTTTGCCAACTTGATTTCTTGATTCCAACGTGACGATCTTGATTCATAGGACAAGGGAATTGTCGTGTGGTGAAGTGCATCGTGGACTGCTTTTGAGCATCGACGCACACAAATCCTTTCTTGTACAATAGTATCAGCTCGATTATGTATCGTTAGCAAATGGTAATCAAGGAGCGATCCAAGCGCCACAACGAGCATGTGTAGGATAATGCCTTCAAACTCGAGGGCTCCAAACACGTCATCACAAATCACCATGTCGATATGTAGCTGTATGCAAGCAATAATTGGTGACTGGTGCCTTCATTTAATAGCTATAGTGCGTCGCACTAGTAGAAAGTTTGGTGCGTCGTTCACCACAGTGATACGTAACAATGACGTCACATCACAGGCTGTTCTAATGATGTATCCACGCAGCGGTGTAAATATGTAGACTGTAATAGTACACGACTGTCATCCATACACACAATTTGTATGTACCGGCCACCTGGATCCACAAGTATCATCCATTCGTGAGTTTGTATGACGACACCTCACCCGATGCCACCGCCACGTCCGAGCTCATCGAGGCCTACTACTTTGAGCCTCATCATAACTACATGTTTTGTATGGTATACAAAACTAAGACACTTCAAAGTCATAAATAATTCACACTGAAAACACCTTACCCAACGATACAGCCGGCGGGGCGGCTGTATCCGCGAGCGAAGCGAGCGCGTTTTTGAAAATGAAGTTATGAATTTGAAAAAGAGTATTTTTGTGAAGGAA